AAGATATTCTGCAAGAAGAGCAACCCCAAGGCACATAATCGTCAGATTCAACAAGGTTGAAATAAAAAAGAAAATACTAAGGGTAGCCAGAGAGAAAGGTCGAGTTACCCACAAAGGGAAGCCCATCAGACTCACAGCAGATCTCTCGGCAGAAACACTACAAGCCAGAAGAGAGTGGGGGCCAATATTCAACATTCTTAAAGAAAAGAACTTTCAACCCAGAATTTCATATCCAGCCAAACTGAGCTTCAGAAGTGAAGGAAAAATAAAATCCTTTGCGAACAAGCAAGTACTCAGAGATTTTGTCACCACCAGGCCTGCTTTACAAGAGCTCCTAAAAGAGGCACTACACATAGAAAGAAACAACCAGTACCAGCCATTCCAAAATCACACTAAAAGTTAAAGAGCATCAACATAATGAAGAATCTACAACAACTAACAGGCAAAACAGCCACTTAGCATCAAAATGGCAGTATCAAATTCACACATAACAATATTAACCCTAAATGTAAATGGACTAAATGCACCAATCAAAAGACACAGACTGGCAAATTGGATAAAAATCCAAAACCCATCAGTGTGCTGTATCCAGGAAACCCATCTCACATGCAAGGATACACAAAGGCTCAAAATGAAGGGATGGAGGAAGATTTACCAAGCAAATGGAGAGCAAAAAAAAGCAGGAGTTGCAATACTCGTCTCTGATAAAATAGACTTTAAAGCAACAAAGATCAAAAGAGACAAAGAAGGCCATTACATACTGGTAAAAGGATCGATAAAACAAGAAGAGCTAATGATCCTAAACATATATGGACCCAATGCAGGAGCACCCAGATACATAAGGCAAGTTCTTAATGACTTACAAAGAGACTTAGACTCCCACACAATAATAGTGGGAGACTTTAACACTCCACTGTCAATATTAGATCAACCAGACAGAAAATCAACAAGGATATCCAGGGCTTGAACTCAGACCTGGAGCAAGCAAACCTGATAGACATTTACAGAACTCTCCACCCCAAATCCACAGAATAGACATTCTTCTCAGCACCACATCACACCTACTCAAAAATTGACCACATAATTGGAAGTAAAGCACTGCTCAACAAATGCAAAACAACTGAAATCATAACAAACAGCCTCTCAGACCATAGTGCAATCAAGTTAGAACTCAGAATACAGAAACCAACCCAGAACCGCACAGCTTCATGGAAACTGAACAACTGGCTCTTGAATGTTGACTGGGTAAACAATGAAATGAAGTCAGAAATAAAGAAGTTCTTCGAAACCAATGAGAACGAAGACACAACATGCCAGAACCTCTGGGACACATTTAAAGCAGTCTCTAGAGGAAAGTATATAGCAATAAGTGCCCATATGAGGAAAATGGAGAGATCCAAAATTGACACCCTATCGTCAAAATTGAAAGAGCTAGAGGAGCAAGATCAAAAACACTCAAAACCCAGCAGAAGACAAGAAATAACTAAGATCAGAGCTGAACTGAAGGAGATTGAGATACAAAAAACCCTTCAAAAAATCAATAAATCCAAGAGCTGGTTTTTTGAAAAGATCAACAAAATAGACCACTAGCCAGATTGATTAAAAATAAAAGAGAGAACAACCAAATAGATGCAATAAAAAATGATAAAGGGGAAATCACCACAGATTCCACAGAAATTCAAACCATCATCAGAGAATATTACAAACAACTCTATGCACATAAACTAGTAAACCTGGAAGAAATGGATAAATTCCTGGACTCCTGTGTCCTCCCAAGCCTAAACCAGGAGGAAGCTGAAACTATGAATAGACCAATAACAAGGGCAGAATTCGAGGCAGCAATTAAGAGCCTACCACACAAAAAAAGCCCAGGTCCAGATGGGTTCACAGCTGAATTCTACCAGACACACAAAGAGGAGCTGGTACCATTCCTTCTAAAACTATTTCAAACAATCCAAAAAGAGGGAATCCTTCCCAAATCATTTTACGAGACCAACATCATCCTGATACCAAAACCCGGCAGAGACCCAACAAGAAAAGAAAACTTCAGGCCAATATCCATGATGAACATAGATGCAAAAATCTTCAATAAAATACTGGCAAGCCGAATGCAACAGCAAATCAAAAAACTTACTCACCATGATCAAGTAGGATTCATCCCGGGGATGCAAGGCTGGTTCAACATACGCAAGTCTATAAACGTAATTCACCACATAAACAGAACCAAAAACAAAAACCACATGATTATCTCAATTGATGCAGAGAAGGCATTTGACAAAATTCAACAGCCCTTTATGCTAAAAACCCTCAATAAACTCGGTATCGATGGAACGTATCTCAAAGTAATAAAAGCTATTTATGACAAACCAACAGCCAATATCATACTGAATGGGCAAAAACTGGAAGCATTCCCTTTGAAATCTGGCACTAGACAAGGATGCCCTCTTTCACCACTCCTATTCAATATAGTTCTGGAAGTTCTAGCCAGAGCAATCAGGCAAGAAAAAGAAATAAAGGGTATTCAAATAGGAAAGGTGGAAGCCAAATTGTCTCTATTTGCAGACGACATGATAGTATACCTACAAGACCCCATCACCTCAGCCCAAAAACTCCTGAAACTGATAAGCAACTTCAAAAACTTGGATATAAAAAAAAGTCTCAGGATATAAAATCAATGTGCAAAAATCACAAGCATTCGTCTACACCAATAACAGACTTAAAGAAAGCCAAATCAAGAACCAACTGCCATTCACAATTGCTACAAAAAGAATAAAATACCTTGGAATACAACTCACAAGGAACGTAAGGGACCTCTTCAAGGAGAACTACAAACCACTGCTCAACGAAATCAGAGAGGACACAAACAGATGGAGAAACATTCCATGTTCATGGTTAGGAAGAATTAATATCGTGAAAATGGCTATACTGCCCAAAGTAATTTACAGAATCAACGCTATCCCCATCAAGCTACCATTGACTTTCTTCACAGAACTGGAAAAAACCACCATGAACTTCATATGGAACCAAAAGAGAGCCCGCATAGCCAAGTCAATTCTAAGCAAAAAGAACACAGCGGGGGGCATCACACTACTCGATTTCAAACTATACTACAAGGCTACAGTAATCAAAACAGCATGGTACTGGTACCAAAACAGAGATATAGACCAATGGAACAGAACAGAGGCACCGGAGGCAACACAACATATCTACAACTATACAATCTTTGATAAACCTGACAAAAACAAGCAAGGGGGAAAGGATTCCCTGTTTAACAAATGGTGTTGGGAAAACTGGCTAGCCATGTGCAGAAAGCAGAAACTGGACCCCTTCCTGACACTTTACACTAAAATTAACTCCAGATGGATTAAAGACTTAAACATAAGACCTGGCACCATAAAAACCCTAGAAGGAAATCTAGGCAAAACTATCCAGGACATAGGAGTAGGCAAGGACTTTATGAACAAAACACCAAAAGCATTGGCAACGAAAGCCAAAATAGACAAATGGGACCTAATGAAACTCCACAGCTTCTGCACGGCAAAAGAAACAGTCACTAGAGTGGATCGGCAACCAACAGAATGGGAAAAAATTTTTGCAGTTTACCCATCTGACAAAGGGCTGATATCCAGAATTTACAAAGAACTCAAACGGATTTGCAGGAAAAAAACAAACAAGCCCATTCAAAAGTGGGCAAAGGATATGAACAGACACTTTACGAAAGAAGACATATATGAGGCCAACAATCATATGAAAAAATGCTCATCGTCACTGGTCATCAGAGAGATGCAAATCAAAACCACATTGAGATACCATCTCACGCCAGTTAGAATGGCGATCATTAAAAAATCTGGAGACAACAGATGCTGGAGAGGATGTGGAGAAAAAGGAACACTTTTACACTGTTGGTGGGAGTGTAAAGTAGTTCAACCATTGTGGAAGACAGTGTGGTGATTCCTCAAGGCCTTAGAAATAGAAATTCCATTTGACCCAGCAATCCCATTACTAGGTATATATCCAAAAGACTATAAATCGTTCTACTATAAGGACACATGTACACGAATGTTCATTGCAGCACTGTTTACAATAGCAAAGACCTGGAACCAACCAAAATGCCCATTGATGATAGACTGGATTGGAAAAATGTGGCACATATACACCATGGAATATTATGCAGCAATCAGAAATGATGAGTTTGTGTCGTTTGTAGGGACATGGATGAATCTGGAGAACGTCATCCTCAGCAAACTGACACAAGAACAGAAAATGAAACACCGCATATTCTCACTCATAGGTGGGTGATGAAAAATGAGAACATATGGACACAGAAAGGGGAGTACTAAACACTGGGGTCTATTGGGGGGAAAAGGGGAGGGCCAGTGGGAGGGGGAGGTGGGGAGGGATAGCCTGGGGAGAAATGCCAAATGTGGGTGAAGGGGAGAAGGAAAGAAAAGCACACTGCCATGTGTGTTCCTACGCAACTGTCTTACATGCTCTGCTCATGTACCCCAAAACCTAAAATCCAATAAAAAATTAAAAAAAAAAAATCACTAGGCAGAAGAGATATCCAACATGTGTTCCTGGGATTTCTGAACCAAATCTCAATACGTCCACTACTCACCTTAAGGATTTTAGACATGATGCAAAAAACAGTATTTGGAAGAAAAAAAACTTGAACATAGAGCTCCTCAATTATACAAGCATTCCCAGGTCTCCAAAAGCAATGGACAGCAGTCAGATCACGGAGCCCTTTATAAGTGATAAAGTAGACAATGGCTCTCCCTGTAAACCTGAAGGGAGATCACTAAAGGAAAAACTGAATTATTAGATTTAAGAGCATGGGACAGATGATGACCTTATTTGTGAATATGAGAAAAAATGTAGCCTTTTCAGAAATTATTTTTATTGGCACAGAGCTTCCCAAACCACATGTTAAGGCCGGGCTTCCTTCTTGACCTTTGGTCTCCTTGCCTGTGTCCCCTCCTTCATTCACTGTCACCTACCTGGGGGTTTGGCTACTGTCTCACGTATCTTCACATTGCAGGGCTCTTTTCTTTGCTCCAGACAGGTAACCAGGTCTGGGTTAGAGATAGCCACACCTGTTTTATTAAAAAAAATTAACATGACTATTGCTGGGGATACTCCAATTACCAAGCATTATGTTAAGTAGAATAGAGAAATTATAGGGGATTCTAGAAAATTAATCTTTAGAATATTTAAGTATTTTGGCTAGGCGTGGTGGCTCACGCCTGTAATCCCAGCACTTTAGGAGGCCGAAGCAGGGGTATCACGAGGTCAGGAGATCGAGACCAGCCTGGCAAAGATGGCAAAAACCCCATCTCTACTAAAAATACAAAAATTAGCCAGGCGCAGTGGCAGGTGCCTATAATCCCAGCTACTTGGGAGGCTGAGGCAGGAGAATCGCTTGAACCCAGGAGGTGGAGGTTGCAGTGAGCCAAGATCATGCCACTGCACTCTAGCCTGGGTGACAGAGCAAGACTCCATTTCAAAAAAAATAATAATAATTAAGTATTTTAAATCTGTAGGCTTTTAGCTCCACTACCAAGTACTAATGAATCAAAAATAAGTTGTGCAAATTGCATTTTAAGATATCAAAGACAATATTTTATGTCATTTAATTTATAGAATTACCACTAACCTAGAGTGAAGGACACAAATTAGCTCACAAGAAGGTTTACATAAAGATGAAACATACTAAAGATTTTATTTTTTTACACTAGGCTGGAGTGCAGTGGTGCGGTCTCGGCTCATTGCAACCTCATTTCCCTGGTTCAAGTGATACTCCTGTCTCAGCCTCCTGAATAGCTGGGATTATAGGTGGCATGACCACACCTGGTTAATTTTTGTATTTCTAATAGAGATGGGGTTTCACCATGTTGGCTGGGCTAGTCTCGAACGCCTGACCTCGTGATCCTCCCACCTTGGCCTCCCAAAGTGCTGGGATTACAGGAGTGAACCACCATCTCCAGCCAAGTTTTTTCTTGAAGAGAGGAACTGAAATTCACACAAAGGAGAAAATCCCAAGAGACATTCTACAAAGGAAGAAAATAAAACTCTGAAAAAGTATTAGGAATTACATATTAAAGTTATCCTCACCCAGGGAGACCAGGTTTCTGTAGTTCTCCAACATCACATCTCTATATAAATTCTGCTGGGCAGGGTCCAGACATCTCCACTCTTCTGGAGAGAATTCTATGGCCACATCCCTGAATGTTAAGAGTTCCTGAAAATACATATTTAGCAAGTGACAGAGTTTTTTTTGTTTTTGTTTTTTTAATATGAAGTCTCACTCTGTTGCCCAGGCTGGAGTGCGGTGGCACAGTCTCGGCTCACTGCAACCTCTGCCTCCCAGGCTCAAGCAATTCTTCTGCCTTGGCCTCCTGAGTAGCTGGGATTACAGGCACCTGCCACCATGCCCAGCTGATTTTTTTTTTATTAGAGACAGGGTTTCACCATTTTGGCCAGGCTGGTCTTAAACTTCTGACCTCAGGTGATCCACCACCTTGGCCTCCCAAAGTGCTGGGATTACAGGTGTGAGCCACTGTGCCCGGCGGTGACAAGAGGTCTTAATTTGACTACAGGTGAAATGAGTTAAGAGAACTAGTTCTGACTCATGAGACTGACTGCAATTATCTGATAAAATAACTTTCAACTCAGTAATGTTCTCTAAAGTATTCTATAACTCTGAGTTTTAAGGAGGACATGCCTTTCTGTTGCTGCAATGGAAATATGGGATACACTGACCTGCCCCTACCAAAACCAAATAGAGCAGGCCCTTTGTGACCTACTGGAACAAAGGGTGAACTCACTTCTCATTAAAGTATCTGGAAGCCCTCATATTTGACCCTGGCCTTGTGGTAGAATCATGTGAGGAATTTAATTTAAGAAGCAGAAATTTTTCCACCCAGAAAAATAGACAGGATCTGTGGGGAAGGCAACGGTGATGGTTTCTCTTTAAAGTGTCCATGTGATACTACTGGAAGACTAGGCTAAGAGTCACTCAGCCAAGCATTGCCTCTAAAGTTCAATATGCATATAAGTTACTTGGTATTCAAAGCCTCACTGTAAGTAACAACATTCTGCAGGTTTAAGAAGGGTCCATGAATTAGCTTCTTTTTTTTTTTTTTTGAGACCGAGTTTCGCTCTTGTTACCCAGGCTGGAGTGCAATGGCGCGATCTCGGCTCACAGCAACCTCCACCTCCTGGGTTCAGGCAATTCTCCTGCCTCAGCCTCCTGAGTAGCTGGGATTACAGGCACGTGCCACTATGCCCAGCTAATTTTTTGTATTTTTGGTAGAGATGGGGTTTCACCATGTTGACCAGGATGGTCTCGATCTCTTGACCTTGTGATCCATCTGCCTCAGCCTCCCAAAGAGCTGGGATTACAGGCTTGAGCCACTGCGTCTGGCCCCAGTGAATTAGCTTCTTATTGCAAGTCTGCTGTTAATGCTGATGTCCCTCTCCCTGGATCCATTAAAATACCACTCGGCCAGAGAAAGCAGACACAGCACAGAGTCCCTAATCCCAACAACCTTATCACAACACAAATACTTTACATTTGAAGACAAGACCACCAATCATCATTTTGAAACATGGCATTCTATCTAGGCCCTTTAAAGTTTACAAAGACAGGAGATGGTGGCAATGCCTGAGTAAGTCTGCATTTGAAAAACATGCACATTCATTCATGCGATCTTTACGGAGCATGTACTATATGCTCAGTGTGTCACAGAACAGTGTGCTGGGAAGTTCACATTATGTGTGTTATTCTGTAACATCCTGAAAAGACGGTACTAAGAAAAGAAGGTACCAAGTGCCCCATACTTCGCAAGATTTAAATGCAGGGCCCCAGCATTTCTATTTGTTCTTCTATTTTCTTATCATTGATTTTTTTTTTAATGCATAGAATAATAGCTCAATATAGATAGGAAAGATGCAGAAAGGAACTGTTAAGTGCAATTCAGAGGAATTTTTTACTTTTGTGTTTGTATTTACTTTGAGACTTGTGAACAAAACACTGAAACTGCAGAGATGGAGAACAGGTTGCTGGATGGGATGTCTCTAAAAACACGGATTTTAATTTTATAAAAAAGAATTTAAGGCACAAAAGTATATAGCTTTTCCCCATTTATCAGCTTTTGGGTTTCAGGAATTGTGAGCCCCAGCTCTGGAGAGGCAGTAGAAATAGCCACCCCAAACTCTAATCTCTAAGCAGTTCTGTGAGAAATTTCAGTGTGGGGTCAGATCTGGACAAGGTTCATCACAGGGTGGATCTGGGCAGGGCTGAGACAGAAGGAGGACCCTAGGCATCTGCTCTCTATGCCCATAACTATTTTCAGTTTTGTCTTTTCTAAGCCTGCCCAAGAGAAATTTGATTCCCAGAGTTCCAAAACCCTCATGTTTTTCTAGACCAATTATATTAGAAGCTAATTATTTATTCTCAGCAAGGTGAAAACAATACAAATAATAATAACAACAACTTCTCTTCTGTCAATGAATAGCCAATCAGGCGGTGGCATCAAAACTCACAAAACAGGAAAATGGAAATAACCCAAATGAAGCTTAAGTCTCCTGTACAATTTCTGTCTTGGTACCGAACACAAGATGCTAAATTCAACCATTTATTCATGTGCTCTAGACAGCAAATGCCTTGATGGTAGAGACCATGACTGCTTCATGTCTTTTTCTAATGACCATATAAAATAGAAGCAATTAGCTTATTGATGAGTTTGAGTCTCCAGATCTCCTCATTTTTCATCAAAGAACCAGAAAACTGGAGCAATTCTTATCTGGGTACAATTCAAGGAGATTCTTTCTGTGAGGGAGGAACAAACCCTGCATGAGTCATTTCTCTTCCTCTGAAATGGGAGCAGAATTAGACCTTCTTGTCAGACTGACCCCAGTCTGCACAGGACATCTTTAAATATCTCAATTACTCAAAGATGCTGGTAAGAGTGTCCCCAGTGACCTTGGGTCAGTGCAATTCTCTCATAGTAATCCAGGGAGGAGACACTCAAGCTGACTTTATAGGGTGCAAATAGAGCTGCCCTGGTGGACTTGCAGATGTGATAACCCCTGTCCCTGGATCAGCTAACTCTGAGGTAAGGGGAAGGACAAAGTACTGTATTCCTACAACACAGTATACAGGAGGAAGGCACATGTGTGATTATGGTTGTCATTATGGCTCTGGATACTTTGTGTCTTTGACTTCCCACTGCTAAGAGGCAAGTTTACACTTACGAATTCTGCCACAGGATTCTATTCACATCAGAAGCCTCACAGACAGCTGTAGCAGGTCAGTGAACAAGACCTGGAAAACTCAAAGGGCTCCACTCTAAAAATGGGGCTTAAGATATCTATGTTGACCTCTCATAATGCAGAAAAAGTGTTCTGTGAGTTTTCCATATGTCTTCAACCCACAGTCTTGGGAATCCGAGGCAGAGACCAGCTTTTATGTCCAGATTCTAGGTGGGATCGATGTGCCTCTGCATTTTTAGGGAATACCGCAAGCAGAGTAAAACCAGAGAGATCCCCTCGTGGAGGCTCCTTCAACACATTCTAAAGAATATTTTGACCTGAAAGGAAAAAGCTGGGGTAAACATAAGTAGAGAGTTTTTTTTCTGGGGGGGCAAAGTTTGAAGATTGCAACCCTAGAGTATATACACTCCAATCACACATATATTTGTAAAGGCAAAAAGGAAGGCAGAGAGGGAACTGATAGTTGTCAGAAATTCTTATGGGTTTACAGAAGTAACGTTGGTGAGTGATTGGCTACACACATTGTTAAGCTGTAGGGTGTGGGTTCTAGTGTCCACTGTGGCATTACTGGGTTAATTTATAGCCACTTGTGCCAACAGCAAGCAATTTCAAAAGTTCAAAGAGGGGCACAGTATATGATTGTGGTCTCATTTTAACAAATCTGTGGGTTCGATAATGAAAAGAACATAGATAAAAGTTCTTTTTGGGTCCAGGTGTGGTGGCTCACGCCTATAATCCCAGCACTTTGGGGGGCTGAGGTGAGCAGATCACAAGATCAGAAGTTTGAGACCAGCCTGGCCAATATGGTGAAACCCTGTCTCTACTAAAAATAGAAAAATTCGCTGGGTACAGTGGTGGACACCTGTAGTCCCAGCTAGTCGGGAGGCTGTGGCAGGAGAATCGCTTGAACCTGGAAGGCAGAAGTTGCAGTGAGCCAAGATCGTGCCACTGTACTCCAGCCTGAGTGACAAGAGTGAAACTCCATCTCAAAGAAAAAAAAAGTTATTTTCTTCTCTCAAATCCCAAGACATATAAATTCAGAATTTGGAACTGTACATTTAGGTCTTGGAGGGCTGTTGAGTTGTGCACATTTATGGGCATTTGAGCAAAGGGAGGAGGGAGAGAACTAAAGTTCTCAAGTTTAATTAATGCACATGTATAATCCTTGCTGGGTTTACCAGCCCCGTGATTTCTGAAACAGTGTCAGACTGAAGATGACAGAAGCAGTGAAAGAGGTGAAATAACAGACTGCTGTCCTGAAGTTACTTTTGCAGAAACCAAGTGTAACTGCTCTACAAGGGACTGCAGATCCTGAAGAGAGAGACCACTTTGTCTGCAGCTTTGGGAAGCACTTTGCTGTACTTTGTTGCACAACTGTGTGCTGTGACTAGAATCCTGAGAACAAAGATTTTTCTCTCAAGTAAAGCCTGGTGGGCACTTTGTGTATAACATCTGGTAATTCTGGACTGTGTGTAGAAAATATAACTAAAAGAAAAATTATCTGCCGGGCATAGTGGTTCATGCCTGTAGTCCCAGCACTTTGGGAGGCCGAGGTGGGCAGACCACGAGGCCAGGAGATTGAGACCATTCTGGCCAACATGGTGAAACCTGTCTCTACTAAAAATACAAAACAAAGTAGCTGGGTGTAGTGGTGAGCACCTGTAGTGGCTGAGCTACTGGCTACTCAGGAGGCAGAGGCAAGAGAACTGCTTGAACCTGGGAAGTGGAGACTGCAGTGGCTGAGATTGCCCCACTGTACTCCAGCCTGATGACAGAGCGAGACTGTTTAAAAAAAAAAAAAAATCTTCAGTCCTAAAAAAAAACTCTCCACCATAATAGAACAGCAATAAAATGTTCTGTTATATAACTAAACCAAAATGTGATGTGCATCACAGCCAATTTACTAAGAGACTGCAAACAGAAAAAAGTACCATCATTAGTTCTCAAGTAAAAGACTTGAAAGCACCATCTGTCATACACAGTTTACTACAACTTCACCTAGTAATTTGGGAGGTCATCTGGGTTTCTAATTGGTAATATTCTAAGGAAAAATAAACTTCCCACATCTTTGTGACAGGACAGAGATTTGCAATGTGGAGCCGGGTACCTGCTGAAGGCAGCCTCCTACCTTCCCACAGAAACTATGGAATAGGATATATATTCTTGCTATTTACATTTCTTTTTTTTTTTTTTTTTTTTGAGACAGAGTTTCGCTCGTTACCCAGGCTGGAGTGCAATGGCGCGATCTCGGCTCACCACAACCTCCGCCTCCTGGGTTCAGGCAATTCTCCTGCCTCAGCCTCCTGAGTAGCTGGGATTACAGGCACGCGCCATCATGCCCAGCTAATTTTTTGTATTTTTAGTAAAGACGGGGTTTCACCAAGTTGACCAGGATGGTCTCGATCTCTTGACCTCGTGATCCACCCGCCTCAGCCTCCGAAAGTGCTGGGATTACAGGCGTGAGCCACCGCTCCCGGCCACTGCTATTTATATTTCAAAGCAATAGTTCCCAGGTCCTAAAGACAAGTCTGAGTCAGAAAAGGCAAATAACCTATTTAACTAATAAAAATGATATACATATATTTCAAAAACCAGTGTAAATACTTGCACATGGCTGGGCACGGTGGCTCACGCCTATAATCCTAACACTTTGGGAGGCCAAGGTGGGCAGATCACTTCATGTCAGGAGACTGAGACCAGCCTGGCCAACATGGGGAAACCCCATCTCTACTAAAAAAAAATACAAAGAAAAAAAAAATCAGCCAGAGTGGTAGCAGTTGCCTGTAATCCCAGCTACTGGGGAAGCTGAGGCAGGAGAATCACTTAACCTGGGAGGCAGAGGTTGCAGTGAGCCAAGATCATGCCAGTGCACTCCAGCCTGCGTGACAAGAGTTTAACTCCATCTCAAAAGAAAAGACTTGCATGTAAGGGATGAACTGACGCACAGTGTGTGCACAGGGAAGAGGATTTGTCGGAAGTTAAAAGAGGAAGAGAGAAAGGACCTATGGAGAGACATGGGTGGGGCAGAACAGGACTAACTAAAGCACTGGTTTGTGATACAGGTACAGGCCCAGGCAGGGCTATGCTCTGACTGATTTCTGTGTCCGTAAAGGCAGAAGACATCAGGATCAGTGGGTCCAGAAGCCTGGGCGGGTAAAGGAAACAGGCTCCTGCTACAGATCCAGTGTCTGGGGTTGAGATGAGCCAGGAAACTTCTGAGCAATGTGTGTGTTTTTGGCAGAAAATTCTAAGTGCAAAGCTGCCATGGGCCCAATTCATGAGGGTAGAACCCTGTCCTAGGAAGGGTGTGGTCGGTGCAAAATCCCAGTGGGCGTGCTCAGTAGTGGGTTAGCATTTGGACGGGGCTGGCAGCAGGGTGCAGGGAAGGGCTTTTCTCAGAACTCCTTTCCTCTAAGTTCCCAGTCCCCTCTCTACCCGGAGGAGACCTGGAGGAACAGGACAGCGCATGTGCAGAACCCGGCCGGGTCTCCCGCGGACACCCCACATCTCCCTCCAGCCCAGGCTCAGCCACATCTGTCTTCTGACAGAAAACGTTCGTTGTTTGCTCAACAGCAGTCAGTGCTCCACCCCGACTGGACGTCCAGCACCTCACTAACGACACCACCCAGAGTCAGCGCCGACCCCACAAGCTCAGCGCTCTTCCCGCAGCCGCCCCCCGCAGACGCCAGTCCCGGCCTCTGGACACGCGTCCTCATTTCCGAACCCCGCCTGTAAACCAAGGGCGCCCACACCCTCCTCGGGGTCAGTCACGTGGCAGAACCGCTCAGAACTCGGCGGAGCGCCGGGCGCACCCACGGCGGGGTCTAAGAGACGCCCCCCCAGAAACAGCCACGCGGGGGAGACGCCCGGGGCGAGGGAGCTGCTGGGAAAGGGGGCGGCGGGCGATCCGCTTCGCCTCCCCACACCCCTCACAAGAGCCTTTCCTTCAAGACCGCTGGCAGCCCCCAGAGCGCCAGCCACGGCCGGGGCCGCCCCGTGCACGAGTCCCCGTTTGCTCACGGGAACCCCACGTTTTCACGGAGCCTCCATCTAATCCGAACAGGGTCAAGTAGGGACGGGACCCCGGACCACAGAGCCGCCCACGCGGGCACCGCGGAGCTCCTCAGCTCGCAGCCCGGGGAAGGTGCGGGGCTGCGGGCGCAGAGCTGACAACAAGGGCTGCAGGCTGGGCCAGAGCCGCCGTGCGGGGACCGTCGGGAGCCCGGGTCCCTCCGCGGAGGGGACTGAGGACCGACGGCTGAGCGGCGGCCGCGGGGACTCGGCTCCCAGACTCCGTCCCGCCTCCGCCATTTCCCGCCGGTTCCGATGAGGCCTCCCCAGCCTCGGGACGCCCTGCCCCGCACACTCACCATTTCTGGACTTCGGGGTGTCGCGGAGTCTTAGCTACGAATCACCCGAGACCCGCATGTCACAGAGTAACGGAGGCCGAGGCTGCGGCTGAATCACCCCGGCCTCCGGGAGCCGAGAACACGGGGCAGAGAAACTCTAACCCGAGCTCGGGCTGAAGCGCCGCAAAGGCCCCGCCAGATCCCGGATGCCGCCCCCTCCTCTTTGGCTGCTCGCCTGATTGGGCAGTTGTCACTCCAGCACTCTGATTGGATAGGACTCCAATCCCCGCCCTCAGGCCTTGAGTGACAGAAGTTGCGACCATACGCTGCACTGAGTGAGGTGACAGAGACAGGCTCCTGCCTCTCGGCACTTTCAGGCTGGTTTTTTTGTGTGTGTGACGGAGTCTGGCTCTTCTCGTCCAAGTTGGAGTGCAATGGCGCGATCTCTGCTCACTGCAACCTCCACTCCCTGGGTTTAAGCGATTGTCCTGCCTCAGCCTCCCAAGTAGCTGGGATTACAAGTGCCCGCTACCACGCCCAGCTAATTTTTGTGTTTTTAGTAGAGATGAGGTTTCACGATGTTGGCCAGGAGCCCGGGTCTTGAACTTCTGACTTCAGGTTATCTGCCCTCCTGGGCTTCCCAAAGTGCTAGGATTAAAGGCGTGAGCCACCGCACCCGGCCCAGGCAGGGTTTTATCTGTTTGGCTTGGCAGAGCCCATGGTCATTTTTTAACCTTGTAGTGTGTAAGGTTAAGTGCATTTATAATATAAATTGAACGCACACAACACGCGCGCACATGGGCACGTGCACACATGTACACGTGCACACATACACATGCACGCACATACACACCCACTTGTTCACAAATGGCAACCATATAATGACAATTATTTTAATGTTTTATAACCTTTTTTTGCCTCTGCTCTTTTGAGTAGGACACCTGAGATTTTTAAGAAGGAAGTAATCATCTAAAAAGTAAAATGTGGCCAGTCGCGGTGACTCACGCCTCTAATCCCAGCATTTTGGGAGGCCGAGGCGGGTGGATCACGAGGTCAAGATATCGAGACCGTCCTGGTCAACATAGTGAAACTCCGTCTCTACTAAAAATACAAAAATTAGCTGGGCATGGTGGCGCGCACCTGTAGTCCCAGCTACTCGGGAGACTGAGGCAGGAGAATTGCTTGAACCCAGGAGGCGGAGGTTGCAGTGAGCCAAGATCGTGCCATTGCACTCCCGCCTGGGTAACAAAAGCGAAACTCCGTCTAAAAAAAAAAAAAAAAAAAAAAAAAAGCAAAATGTTAGCTATTTGTGAATTTTTAACTTTTTATTGGCCACATCAAAAATAATAAAAAGAAACAAGTGAAATTATTTGTGATAATTTTAACCTACTGTATCCAAAATATTATTGTTTTAATATGTGGTCAATATATAATTAGAAATAAAGTATATTTTTGATCTAATTCTTCTAAACCCACTGTGTATTTTATGTTTGCAGCACATTTTACTTAAAAGCAGCCACATTGCAGTTACCCAGTAGCTGCATATGTCAGGTGGCTGCCGTATTGAGTGCAGCCATGAGGGCTCTGACCTCAGGGAGGTGCGGGCCTGAACACCTCTTTTCTGCTGGAAGTGAGGGAACAGCCTCTCTACCAACTTTTCTCCTCAGGCTCAAGTGTGGGTGGGACAGCGTCCCTAGAGAGAGCAGTGGCTGCAAGCTGAGAGTATCCACGTGAACCACAGTCTCCCAGTTGCTGTTTTGGAGAGGTGTGGTGGTCTCTCCTCAGTTCAGCCACGTCCAGGCTGTTGTCCATGACCAAGAAAGGAGAGCTCTCAGCAGCAAGAGAAGACCCGAAAGCAGGTTGCTAGAAATGCGGCTGAGTTCTTTTTTTGGGGGGTTTTCTGGTTTTTTCTTTGGTTGCTTTTTGAGACAGTCTTGCTCTGTCACCCAGGCCTGATCTTGGCTCACTGCAACCTCCACCTCCTCAGTTAAAGTGATTCTCCTGCCTCAGCCTCCCAAGTAGCTGGGATTACAGGCACGTGCCACCATGCCCAGCTAATTTTTTTTGTATTTTTAGTAGAGAAAGGGTTTCACCATGTTGACCAGGATGGTCTTGATCTCTTGACCTCGTGATCCACCCGCCTCGGCCTCCCAAAGTGCTGGGATTACAGGCGTGAGCCACCGTGCCCGGCGAGTTCTGGGTCTTTTATGGAGCAAGAGAAAGGAAGCCTTCTGTGGGTTCTGTCCAAATGTGGGGGGTAAAGTTCCCACTAAGAGTGTTGCATCTGGCCGGGCGCGGTGGCTCAAGCCTGTAATCCCAGCACTTTGGGAGGCCGGGGCGGGTGGATCACGAGGTCAAGAGATCGAGACCATCCTGGTCAACATGGTGAAACCCCGTCTCTACTAAAAATACAAAAAATCAGCTGGGCATGGTGGCGCGTGCCTATAATCCCAGCTACTTGGGAGGCTGAGGCGGGAGAATTGCTTGAACCCAGGAGGCGGAGGTTGTGGTGAGCCGAGATTGTGCCATTGCACTCCAGCCTGGGTAACCAGAGCGAAGCTCCTCTAAAAAAAAAAAAAAAAAAAAAAAAAAAGAGTGTTGCATCTGAGCATGCCTGGGGTTGGCCACCGTGATTCCATCTTGGTTATTACCCATTAATGCCTAAGCAAAAACTTGGAAAAAGGAGGAATGGGGGTGGGTGCTGCTAAAACAACAATGATAATGTCATGTGAATGACAGTCTAATAAGCTGGGTCAAGTTTAGGACATTTAGGTTGATTTATTGCACCTGAACCTCAGTTGAAGCAGCCCCTTCTGAGCAACGTCCTGGCATAAGAAAGCTCTTAACCACATTTCTTCCCGCTAGCTACTGGGACGGGTGCAGATGCGGTCCGGCCGGTGTTTTTCCTTTCCAAAGACCCTCCTTCTCTATCGGCCTAACCAGCCTCTGACTCCCTCCTCTCTCAGGGCTTCCTCTTCCTTTCAAATATCAGACAGTAAACAAAGAATGATGGGGCCCCAGCAGTAGAGAACACTATGTCTTCAGATCTCTTCACAGCCTTGCCCTCCAGAGTTTAGATGTAGCAGGAATAGATTAAAGGCAAACTTCTTGTTTTGCTCTTTGCCTTCGGACCTAATTGTCAGGCTGTAACTGTGTGTTTTTCTCTGGTGGTGTGGGCACTGAGTGAGTTTAAGCACCAAACACTTGCATCCACATCTTCCTGCACTTTTGTTCCCAGAAGGAAACCTTGAATGTGAGTTGTCCAGGTCCTTGGCATTTTGAGCAAAGAATTGAAAAATGAACAAAGTAACAAAGGAATAGAACACAGGAAGGAAGCAGAAAAAGTAGAAATGCATTGAAGTGAGAACACACTGCATAGGGTGGGTGTGGCTCAAGGATCTGGTTACAATGTTTTCTTGGGTTTAAGTACTCCTTTTGAGGTCCCTATCAGCTACGCCTTATCTGCATGAAGAATTTGGTCCTTAGCTAATTAAAGGATGAGATGAAATGCCACCCTATGCAGATGAAGGCATGGCCTGTGCTTGGCCACTCCAAGGCACTCTCCTTTTCTATCAGAGAACTGGTGGAAGGCGGAGGGTTGTAGCGACAGTAACCTTTGATCCTATGCCACTCCGGCATGGGGAGATGGGATTTTTTTCTTTTGGTTTAGCTGTAGGAAGCTGTTCTCAATTGGCCGGAGGTTCCCTGCCCCCAGACCTTTTTTTAGTTTAGGAAGTCACCACAAATTGGCCTTAAGTTCCCTGCTTTCACACCTTGTTCTCCTAACTCACTTCTGAATAACTTGATACCATCTTACAAGAAATCTAACTTTAAATAAAGGGGAAAAAATCGTTACTTATAGGGTGCCGAGCCTTTGCGGGTTTTTGTGATCAATCTCCTGGCATTCTGCCTGTAATAGGTATATACATTAGTAGGCTATAAGTGCATAACAATCCCAAAACATACTAGCTCATGTTTGAGGTCACGTTTAGGACATTTAGGACATTTTTTTTTTTTAATGGGATGGCTAGAAATTTAGGCTGTGCTCAGCAGGGCTGGTCTTCTGAGCTCAGCTTGGCTCCATCAGGCATGAGTGTTCAGCTGCTGCTGAATTAGGTGGCTCTGTTTCTGGGAGTGAGCTGTCTGGCTCCCTAAGTGTGTGGCACCTAGGCTTTTCTTCTTATGGTATTTTATCCTCCAGCAAGCTAAAATGGGCTTGTTCTCACAGAGATGAAAGAGTTCTGAAAAAGAAAACAGAAGCATTTAAAACTGTTTGAACCTAGGTACCAAAGTGACACACTGTCATGTGCACAGTTTTGGCCTGTGCAAATAAGGCGAGAAAGATTCAAGGTTTGGGAAGCAGAATCTGTCTCTTGATCGGAACTACTATAAAAGCCATTGCCAAGGGCATGAATACAAGAAGAAAATTTTAAAAACTTGTCTACTTTGGCTCACTGCAACCTCCACCTCCCAGGTTCAAGCGATTCTCCTGCCTCAGCCTCTGGAATAGCTGAGATTACAGGTGCACGCCATCATGCCTGGTTAATTTTTTGTATTTTTAGTAGAGACAGTCTTTCCCCATGTTGGCCAGGCTGGTCTCAAACTCCTGACCTCAGGTGATCCACCGACCTTGGCCTCCCAAAGTGCTGAGATTTCAGCCACTGTGCCTGGCCAAAAAATATTGTCATTTAAGCAATCAATTTTATTATGCCGTTTCTTACAGATGGAGTTTATATAACTGTCCCATAGCTATTAAGCAGTTGGCTAGGACTGAAAATCAACTCTGCCTGAAAGCCAGAAACATCACTCTGTCCACCTTCCAAAATACTATAAGGCTGTAGTAACCAAAACAGCCTGATACTGGTACAAAAACAGATACACAGACCAACAGAACAGAATACAACACTCCGAAATAGACCTGCACACCTACAGCTATCTAATTTTTAACTAAGATGGCAAAATAAGCAATAGAGAAAGGACTCCCTATTCTGGTGCTGAGATAACTAGGTACTCATATGCAGGACGGTAAAACTAGACCTATGCCTTTGGCCGTATACAAAACTTAACACAAGATCAATTAAGGATTTAAATTTGAGACCTGGAACTATAAGAATTCTACAAGAACACCTAGGAAATATATTTCTTGACATTAGCCTTGGGAAATAATGTTTGGCCAATCCCCAAAAGCAATTTCTGGAAAAACAAACATTGATAAGTGGGACTTAATTAAACCAAAAAGCTTCT